CCCTGATTATTTACACCATACCTGTCTCGATTGAATTTCTCCCTAACCACAATAGTTGCAAAGTGAATTCTTCACTTTGCACTAAAAATACTTGTAAAGGATTTTTGAAAATTTCGAGTGTCATTTTTATATAATTATTTAAACCTTCCCAGGAGCAGCTGCAAAGGTTGGGTCTAAACAAATGTATAAAATTCACACTCGAAATTTACATCCAACTCGAAAATCCTTCGACATTAGTTCAATATCGAATCATGTCCAAAAGTCCTGATATTTCTCTCACATAAGTGCACAAAATTCGTGACAACTTTCTCGCTAACTCAGTGAGCGGCGGAAATGCTCAAAATTTGAGAATTTTAAAATCCCGCTGGAGACATCGAATTTTATACGTTTTTCTCTGCAATGTTAGGATTTGAATACTTACATCAAGTACTGTTATTTTCTCGTACTGTAGCGATGAATCATGAGTTATGATAACTTCGGGATTGTATGAGATCTCGTCTTGATTACTTAGATAAATGACTGCTGTGAGGACTTTTGTTTTGCCTATTGTGATTTCTTTCATGTCGGGACTAGAAATAGAGAAGACATATTGAATATATATATATACTAATTATAATCTTAAAATTTTATTAATCGCTACACAGTGTTTCACGCTTTCAAAGCGATCTTCAGGCGATACTTAATAAAATTTTAAGATTATAATTAGTATATTTTGCTCTATCAATTAAATTTGTTATTGAGCACTCTTTTTGTACAATGGACAACGATTTATTATTATATATATATATATATTATTATATATATATATATATATATATATATATATATATATATATATATATATATATATATATATATATATATATATATATATATATATATATATATATATATGTACTATTTAAAACACGAATAGGAGTGTTTTATCAGATATATAACGCGAGGCGCAGCCGAGCGTTATATATCTGATAAAACACTCCTACTCGTACTCACTAATACTAATTAGGATGAAGCATAGTATAATCATGCTAATTAAGATGAACAATTATATAATGCCACATGTGTTTTATCAGATATAAAGTCACTCCACGTGACATATTATGGCTGACATGATTTGCCACAAGGTTTATGAATTATTAATGAGTATTTTAAATATATAATATATATTGCGTCAGAAATGACTTCATGTGTTTTCCTGTGCTACTTTCGTGTGCTACTGTTGAATCTACTATATAGTAGTACAAGCAGAGGCAAAAGTCATACAGTCAACAACAATGTTTGTTATATAGCTAGTGTGAACACCAAACGTGATTGGCTGATTTGTAGTCACGTGGCTTTAGATAAATGCAATGTATCCCGCCCGGGCAATAAGTGAAAAATTGTTGCCCGCCCCAACCGGCCACGTACATAAATAAACAAAATGGCGGCACAAATTTATACTATTTAAACTACTGTTTTCGTGGCTTTGTGTTAAAATAAAGAATGTAAAAGAGAAGAAAAATACATAACAGGCAACAGGATATGCTGCTGAAACCATTTAAGTAGGTTTTTTAAATTTTAAACTCGTTTACGCTATAGAGTTTTTGTCATGAAATACAAATATTGTTGTATGAATGTTGTTCAATGTTGATATTTGTTTCGTCGCTATATAACAAAATACTTAACGTCTTTTCCCTCGGGAAATAATTAGTTTTGTTTTCCCTCGAATCTCAATGTCTGAGATTCTCGGGAAAACAAAACTAACTATTTCCCTCGGGTGCAGACATTAAGTGTATAATGTTCGGACAAATTCTTTTGTTCTTATCTTTTCTCTTTGTCTTTTCTCTATAATAATCTTAAACTTAATAATATAAATTATTATATTGATTACCTCTTCGCTTCTCCCAGGATTTTGTTGAAATCTGTGGCAGGCATTGTTGACACCAGTCGTTGGGATGGATTTGATTTTGGGCAAAGCAATGAGCAGAAATGAAACAGGCATTGGTCTTTGTTAATTTGCAAAACAAAAAGAACTTTTCAGTACATACAGCAAAAATGTGATTAACTGGAAATAAATTGTGCTTTGATTTTAACCTTAAAGGTCTGATTCCACGAGCACTTTTCCTCGGCGAAATGCGAAACTTTTCACGAAATAAATACGTGTATTCGCAATCAAGGTAAATTAGGCTTGGCGAGAAAAAAATTCGCTTCGTCAGTGAATGGAAGTCCGTCCAACTCACTGCAAAAGTAAACAAAGTGGCCAAATTCAATAGAATCACTCATGTGCTCACAATTTTGGGCAAAGAATTTCGCCGTCGTGGAATCAAGCCTTTAGGTTCAGTTAAATATCCTGTAAAGGGAAATCTAGGGGGGGGGGGCAGTCCCCCGATCGTTTTCCCAATTTTAACCCTGCGCTTATAAGTTCACCTTAAGTTGACATCCCTTAATGGTATTATTACATTCCTGGCACACGGAATCATACGTGATAAACATCATGGACTCTTTAGAGACGTTTGCGCGATTATTGGACACCGCAATCTTTAGTCCAGCAGCTGTTATCCCTTCGTTGCCATAGTCACCAATGTTGACAGGTGATTCAGGGAGAAAACATTTTACTTCATTGATGTCCATCATCAACCCAGGGTATAACGAGATGGAATTGTCAGGGATCCACACTGATTCAATAACCTTTAACAGAAATCATGGATTAGAAATTTGCTCTGCATGCGCGTTCTTATTGGTTACTTGAACAGTATATATAGATTGATAGCACTATTTAAATATTAAAATTGACGAGTATACTAGAAATTCGTAAAGGGAAGAAAATGTTCTGATCATTGTCTAGTGTGTATTTTTATTTGTCGGTGAAGTACTTATTTGAAAGTACTTGTGAAAGTACTTTTCTAATTGAATTTTTCTAATAACTGCTGCCTATAATAATCCATGATAATACCCTAATTTCTTTTGCCTTAATTCTTTAAGTCATAAACAACTTCCCGCCCAGACTAACTTTGCTGGACATGCAGTTGGACTTGCTCCAAGTCTGCCTCTCAAAAAGGTTTTTATTCGCGATATCTCGCCGCCCGCCCGTTTTACAAAATTAATCTTGCCCGCATTTTGGCGGGCTCTTTATACATCCCGAATAAAATCTCTTTGAGAGGCAGGCTTGAAGCAAATACACAGGACAGTGTAAATTTGCACGTATATTTCTTTGTTATAAAAAATTATTTTGTGTTTTTGTTTTTGGTCAAAGAGCGTAAACACTAAACAGCACTGCTGGCGTTATAGCTGGCCATAATTTTAAATGGAGCATTATCTGCTCGTGTTCGAAGTTAGAAATATCGCACTTTCAACGCGTACTTTTCTCATGACTTGGTTTGTTGAAACGCACATTGAATAAAGAGCATCTATTGAGATATTTTTCAGGAGGTTTCCCACGTTTACCACTAAGAATGCGAGTATTATGTGTTTTATATTTTAGCTAACTAAGATTACTTGATAACACCAGGGCGCTGTAAAACACAGGGTGTTTCACAACTGATGCAACATACCTTTCACCGATCGTTTTTGACATGTTTTCGCTCGCTACTTTGACAACTCTATAGGGTTAGGGTTAGCTGATGAATAGAATTGAGATCATCTAAGATCTGTTTCCGATCCTTGTTTTAGACTAGGAGAAAAATCACGCGGCAGTTTTTTTTGGGGAGGGAAGGCACCGCAATTTTCCATTTCGTAAACGGCTAGGGTCAACTAACCGTCAGTGTCACCACTTTTAGCGTGCGTCACATCAAGTCAATATGAAATGGGTATTCATCACGCGCAACACGTGTGTTGTGCTAGCATCGGTAGCAACTATTATACTTTCGTGACCATGATACTGTTTTGCATGTGTATGCAAGTTTTTTAAAAACCGAAAACAGTTCTTTTAATTTCTTTTGTATGAAAGTTTTGACACTGACTGTTACTGGTGACCCTGCCGAGGCATCCGCTCAATCGTGACATACCGTACCTTAAATTCTTGGACATGGCATGTAAGATTTTCAGAATCCAACAATGGGAAAGCATAAATACCCACATTGCGACATGGTCTTCTTCTTACATCACACAATCCTGATTTACGTATTCCGTATAAAATGGGACTATCTTTTAACGATATTGAACAGTCGGAGGCTGTGTAGTCTTCAAAACAAGTGCAAGTGGAGTTTGAACAATTTCCGCGGTCTGAGCAATCATTTGGACATAATGAATCAAGAACGGTTGTTTCAAGTTCTATACGTCCATCTGTACTGTTCTTGTAATAAGTTATGTTCTTGTACACATTCTCCTTACAAATTTCGTTCATGGCTCCAAGATTGGCTACAGCCCACGATACATCGTCAGTTATCTGTGTAGTTAAAAGGATAAAGAAGTTTTTTCATACCTTTTTAAAACATTAACCTGCAGTAACAGCTATAGTAAGGGATATATACAGTAGCAGGAAATTGTGCCAACATTTAGATCAGTTAGAGATTCGACTGTGCATCCAAATGACGCGTTTTTGTCGGACAAGGGTAATAGTTGAATCATTACATGTAAAGATTCCGAAGGATTCAATGTCTTCAGTCGTCCATTGATGTTTTAAATGTAATTATTAATTATAGCATCTTGTTTTTCTGCATAAACTTTAGAGAAATGGTTGAAATTTGAAGCAAAGGCAATCGTTCGGCATTTGAAAGTGACAGTGACACAAAAACCTATTTCATTTTGGTTTTTAACAAAAAACAGTAGTTCTGAACAGTATATAATTATATACAGAAATCGTTGTTTAAAAGTATAATTTCAAGGTTGCTGTGAAAGCCATAAAAAACACAAAAGATCAAGACAAACTCGTTGGGTATGTTTTAAGAAATATCTCAACCGTTTTATAATTAATAATACACATGAAATGTGTATTATTAATTATAATTAAGAGCCGTGTAATTTCTTCGAAATACAGTGCCAAAAAATGAAGTACAGTGCAACAAAAAGAAATACAGTGTAAAGTTTATTGACTATTTGGGCTTTCTGATTGGCTTAGAATATGAAACTGAAAAATCAACTATTGCTGTTGACTGACAATTAGGCTAGCGTCATTACATACATACAGTACGTACAAAGATAGCCAATACAATACATCAATTTCCAGCAGAAATAATAATAAAAACCTTTAGCAGTTTTTAGAAGTGACAAAAATGGCTGATAAATAAATACCTTTTGTTTAAAAAACATGAAAACACTTCATTTAGTTACAAGAAAACTAGAGTTAACTATCGTTTTGTAATTTCATGACGGATTTTAGCATAACTGCGATGCTCAGAGCATGCAAAACGTTTTAAGAGTAAATTATGTTCGCGCAAAATTACTTTGTTTTCACAAAGCATTGTTTTTTGTAACAACAGATGCAGCATTTGCTTTTATGTCTTCAAAAAGAACCTCGTAATAACCGTATTTCAAAACGTATCGTCAAACTGCAAATTTAGACAGCAAAACAAACGATTTGCGCAAAAAAACCTAATCTTAGCGTTGTTTCTATACTTTGTAGTTCTCACTCCCATAGCCAAATTTAATATGGCGAATTTGAAAGGGCATGCTTGCAAAAAGTGGAGACATAACTCATGATTAAGTACGCATTATATATGTATTAATTCTACCATTGAACTACAATTCTCCCAGTGGGAAAGGGGTTGCAAAAGTTTATCTATAAGATAAGTCTAAGTCACGATAAATTGACCGGAGATAAATTAGTGTTTACAAAGTAATATTTGTTTCACATCGTTTTTCTTTAATATTACTTACAAAATTACGAATTATTAAAACTATATTATAGTAACATAGAAATTATTGTACTATATTCATTTGCAAATTACAAATTGTGGTGTTTTCGTACCATGCTTTTTCATGTTTTCTTATTATTATATTTTTTCTATATGTACCTGAATATCAGAGATGCATTGACCAACAAGAGCATCCAAATCCACACCAGCAACAGCACCACAACTTTCACCGCTCTTCGAATACCTTATTCTTTTATTGCATATCTCCGTGACGTTTTCTTCTGTCAATCCACTGGGCGTTGGCCATGAGAGAGAAGTAATATTACGTACGGGCGGGTTGTACGGCGGAATAACGTCCTGATCATCAATATCATCATCTCGGGAATCTAATGCTCTTTTCCGGCGCTCTCCACTATTCGGTACAGCATTTCCACGGCAATAATCTAGTTGCAGAAAATATCATTGATGTCAGTATAATACAAACATATGTTTTAAATATGAACATATCCGATTGTATAGAATACACCGGGTGTGTAAAAAACAGATTCCTAATTTTATGTTAAATTTTGCAACGACAACCTAACTTTCATGAATGTTATGTTAAAATGATTTCAGTTTTTATTTTCTACGATGAGTAATTTCTTTCATGTTGAATCCAGAATTTTGA